TAATTTATCAGAAGCGGCGGACTGAAAGACGTCAAAACGGCGATGATTTACGAGCTTCGCTTTTCCCAGTTGTGGTGCGCGGCGGGCGTCAATCTCTCCGGGGGGAGGACGTCACACCCGTCTGAGCTCGCAAAGCAGATGAAGGGATCGCAGGGTAGCCTGGACCATTTGGAGCAAGAGAACAAGGTCAGGGTGAGGATTTAAAGATTAGCTGGCCCCTCAGCTGTGTTTGCGTTTCACCTCCCGGTAGGTCCAGCAAATCCCTAAAACAAGTGTTGGTCCACCCTGTCAGGATCAAGAGAAAGTTGAGGAGCTGATCCTTCAGGACGAATTGTCGAGTCGGGTGTGGTTGTGCGCCAGCACCCACTCCTCCACCAAGGTCTTAGTGGTGGATGCTGCCCAACCGTCTGACCTTGTCGACAGCTTCTACGCCTGCAACACCCACGTCGTTTGCATCGCTAGTGTGCCAGGTACATCTTAGCTTCTCGCTTTTTTGTTTCTGGTCTCTCGATTGCAGACAGAACACCGGTCGTGCCTTTTTTTGGGGGAGGGGGCCGATATGGATTACAAAGCTCAGTATTTCTTCTTTCTTTCTTCTTCGTGACCCGCTCGGCGCCGAACTTTGTTGACGTTCTTTTCCAGGTGTGTCAGAGTCCGATTATCCCGCCGGTGAGGAAGTACCTCAAGACGCGGATGCCAATCAGGGCGACGTGGTCTCCCTGGCCGGCAGCGTGGCCAGTGTGGGCTCGACGGGCAGCGACGGCACCCTGGCAGCTGAGGGCGCCACCGCCATCCCCCAGACGGCCAGCGCAGGGGGCCTCGAGCAGCCGGCGGAGCACAGCGCCATCCCCGGCTCAGGTACTTGGCAATCACAGGCTCGCAGAGTGGGCGTGACATTCGTCCAAATGCGCAAATAAGAAATTCCGGCCTGTCCACAGCCGAGCTGTCCAGGCAGACAAGCCCGGCGGATGTTCCCACGGCGGAAGAGGCGACGGAAGCAACGGAGGCAAACGCCGGCGGCAGCGAAGAGGGCGAGGGGGACCAGGGACCCGAGCAAAATCAGCCCGGGATCTACACGGAGCACGTTTTCACCGACCCACTGGGGGTGGGGCCCAACGAGTCTTCTCCTACCTACGTCCAAAGGTGACGGATGCACCGCATTCTGGCGCACGAATCCGTTACGTTTTAGTTTGACAACTACTCCGGAATAGAAGAGTGCCATAACCTGGATGAAAATCGACCTCCGCTTTTTTTTTTTAAATGGCTTATCTGCTCTTTGTGACCCAGGGGCTCCGTGACGACCTTGCCGGACGACTCCGACCCCTCGGCTCTGGAAGTCAAGAGGATGAGCAGTGCCCTCCCCACGATGTGGCTTGGCGCTCAGAATGGATGGTGAGTGGTCACATCATATCCACTAGAGGGCGCCAAATGTTAATCGTTGACAAAGAATCCCAAGTTTGTTGTACCACTGTATGAATGTGAACCTTCTTGTCTTCCTTCCAGTCTGTACGTCCACTCATCTGTGGCGCGATGGAGAAAGTGTCTTCATGCCATCAAGCTTAAAGATTCCATCCTCAGCATCGTGTGAGTACACCGCTGGAGACACACAAGCATGACCGACCAAATGTTTTTCATGCCTTTAAAATACATGTGAAAAAAGTTGTCTTTTATGATGCAGGCACGTGAAAGGCAGAGTCCTGGTAGCACTGGCGGATGGAACCTTAGCAATTTTCCACAGAGGCATCGGTGAGTCTGCTGTTATGTTAATTGACTTTTTTTTTCCTGTTGATTTCCGGAACCATTTGATCACGGACATTCATGAAAAACCACATGGAGTAGATTTTTTTTGTTTGTTTGTTTTTCCCCAGATGGCCAGTGGGACCTTACCAACTACCACCTGTTGGATCTGGGACGACCCCACCACTCAATCCGCTGCATGACTGTAGTCCACGATAAGGTGTGGTGCGGCTACAGGAACAAGATCTACGTCATCCAGCCTAAAGCCATGAGGATAGAGGTAAGGTGACATTGAATGTTCATTGTCCAAAAAAAAAAAAAAAAATATCACACTCGCATTTGTATCGGCTGAGTAGAAGTCGTTCGACGCACACCCGCGCAAGGAGAGTCAAGTTCGGCAGCTCGCCTGGGTTGGAGACGGCATCTGGGTGTCCATCCGACTGGATTCCACACTTCGATTGTTTCATGCCCACACCTTCCAGCACCTCCAGGATGTGGACATTGAGCCCTACGTCAGCAAAATGCTCGGTATACCTGCCGCTCTCCTTCCTTGGTTCTGCACCGGAATTTCCTCCCCCCCATTGGAAACAATGTACCGTAAACAAATGACCTCTGCTTTGCAGGCACGGGTAAACTGGGTTTCTCCTTTGTGAGAATCACTGCTTTGGTGGTCTCCTGCAGCAGACTCTGGGTGGGGACTGGAAATGGCGTCATCATTTCCATCCCGCTGTCCGAAGGTAACAAATTGCAATCCCGCTTTCTGAACGTTTGTACCGAAAACACGTGATCGTTTCATGGCCCCGCCGTACGGTATGGAGACCAAACGACACATCTTGCATAATGTCCTACCCGTGTGTCCGCATGTGATCCGCTCATTTGCGCCGTCTCATTTATTGCTCGCCTTTCAAATAAAGCGAGCGACGCGCTAAGCATACATCCTGTGCCGGGCTGCTCTAAATGCAACAATTGTTGCTCCCGAGGCGCCTTGAATACGAGATGACTGGGTTACCATGGATACCGGGTTTGCAGAGACACTGTGCGTTCAACCGTCCAATTGAGAATCCGTTGGATGGTTGTCTCAAAACAAAACAACACCGGCAAGGTTTCCGTGTGCAAAGGGAAGAAACGTGTTTGTTCGGCTGCCTTGAGCTTTTGTGCTTCAACCTTTTTCTCCTTCCGCCACTTTTGGGCTTTCCAAGCTCATTCCTCCTACGCGTCATCTAAAGCTAGCTCAATAATAAGTAGTTTGACAAGTTTTCACTTATTTTGCAGCCAACAAGACATCTGCCCCGGTGCCAAATTGGCCTGGCGGCGCCGTACGGGTTTACAGTGACGACAGCGCAGAGGGCGCACTGCCATCCAGCTTCGTGCCGTACTGCTCCATGGCGCACGCCCAGCTCTGTTTCCATGGACATCGAGACGCTGTCAAATTCTTTGTCACCGTGCCAGGTGAGCGTCAAGTGCTGAGAAGGCTGGGGGGAAAAAAAAAAAACGGAATTACAGTATTTGATGCTTGTCGGTGGCCCGCTCGCATCCAGTACAAAGCCGTATGTTGCCGTTAGCAACATCATCGGAGGGGAATGCATTCTAGACTTGAACGCAACAGGTAAACAGACGCAAAATAGAGAGATCAATTTATTAAGATTTTTAAAAAAAGTAATTTTCCACCTTCCACATGCAGTTAAACATCCCAAAACACACGTTACGTCCCAATATATTGAAGCACACATTTTACAAGCGTTAACGATGAGAGATTAGCCTTGTTGTTACTGTCGCTAGAAGCCTTCACGTGCAGCAACAACACATACAAACGGAGCTCACAGCAGATGTCACGGGCATTTTTTTTGTAATGTAGCAATTGGCAGAGGTTGACGGCAGAATTGTTGGAGCTGCTTTGGCGTCTGATTGGATTTTAAACTGAGATACGGTTGTCATTTGACCTTTTTATTAATTGTATTTTCTTCTCGACAGGTCAGGCAATGCCACCTCCCGGAAGTGCTGATTCGGGCTCCGACGACCCCCCGTCTGAATCCTCGGACACAGCCGCGTCAGAGCCCAAAACGTACCTGGTGATGAGTGGAGGAGAAGGCTACATTGACTTCAGAATGGGTAAGTGCAATGACAACGGCAAGCAAGGCGTTTTTTTACAGCGGTACTGTAAGCGCATATAAAATGTCATAACTCGTTTTTGGGTTCCAAGGTATTTTTAAAATGATTCATATCACACGTTTAACTCAGTAGGGGTTTTATTGATTTTTTTTTTTTTTGTTGTTGTTGTTTTTGTTTCATATAAGTAGAGGCAAAGCTCAAGGAATGGTTAAACTCATTCTGATCGTCACGGTACTCTGAGTGCACTAAATGCTTACCAAAGCATTAATCCATCTGAAACTAAACTTGTCCGGCACCTCGGCGCTAGCCAGGGTAAGACTCTTAAGACCTGATTTACTCAAGGTTTGCACGTGCTAAAAACAAGCTCAGACTTGATTGCTCACACAAGCCGTTATGGAAGCTGATGTACTCGCTCGCGCCCAGCCCAGGTTTGAGTCTGCCAAACGGGGCCATATTGCAGTGCGGTTTATTTTGGGTGTTCTGCTCGGAGTATATGCAATTAGATGAATTCAGCAACGTGATTCATCAAACCCGAGATGAATCGCGGTGGCTGATTTTTTTGCGCCTGGAAATGGTGAGACTGAAAGAGAGGTGCAAACCGTGCGTGACCGTGAAGGCGTTCATGCGCCGAGCGCATGGCTACAAAATGAGAGGCGATGGGAAGAAGGGATCTTTTTTTCCACTCATCGAAACATTTTTGCAATGCCAGAAAGAGAAATCGCCGTGAGATATTGCATTGCATCAGAATGGAGAATGATTACACGGCTAACTTGGAGCCAGTCACAAGAAGGAGTCATGCCATATCAGCTGGGACAAAACTTCTTTCGACTTTGCTGCGTGTGTGCGGATCCCCACTTCTGACCTCACCGGCCATCTTGACACCTCAGGTGACGAGAGCGCAGAGCTGGACGGCACATCCGAGCCGACGTCGGGCCAACGGTCGGCGCCGACCAAGGCTGAGCGGAGCCACCTCATCGTCTGGCAGGTGGCCACTTCTCTTGATTGAGCCAACGCCACTTTCGACATCCTCGGCCTTCAGCCCGCATGCGCAACTTCAAGTTTTTTTGAATTGAATAGGATTCTTGAGTCATTCACAACTTTGTAAAAAAAACAAAACAAACAAAAAAAAAAACGATTATTTTTTCAGTATTTCCTGTACAGTTTATTCCTATGGTCAGTAGGGGATGTGTGCTAAGTTAACCAATACGGCCAAGCGCTCCCTTCGTTGGGGCTGCGCGTCGGAGATGCCGTTGCACGCAGCTGCGAAAAGGTGTGGACGTCGTTTCCCCGCTCTAGGACGCTCGAGGCATTTCTGCAGACATGGGAAGAAAAGGGAGAAGGAACTTTTTGAGTTTATCTGACCTATTATTTCATATTATACATGTTAAGATTTTTGACATTTGTATACCACAAGTCTCCGTGTGAGAGCTCAGGTGTGTTTGTGTGAGTGCGTGTGAGTGTATAAATGTGTGTGTCTGTTTATCTTGGTTTACAATTCTCTGTGGTGCACAAAACTTGATTTTTTTTTTCCACTGCAGCTGTAGAGTAAGGCTCTTGATTGCCCCCTTTTTTTTTTTTTTAAACCGAGGATTTACATGTGGGCTGTTCACGTAGTCAGCTTTTATTGGCGACTCAGTGCGTATTTTTATTTGGGCAAGAGGAAAAGTGCCGCCATCTTGGTGCTTCCCGTTCCGATTTCATGGGCACTTTATTGTGATAGACTCGATTAATTGCTTTGAACAAACAAACAGAAATGCTCTGCGTGCCAATAAAGTGTTGGCGAGGTGTCATCCCAATAACCAAATGATGACCGAAGGAAGAACATGGAAAGGAATTTATCATCTGTTGAGAGAGTCTTGAATATCTTAAAACGTCTGCGTGCTTGTTTGTGTCAAATCAATTTGAATTGGACATTTCGGCCAAATGTAATATTTTAATGTGGCACCTTCTTGTGGAAATGCACGTCACTAAAAGAGACGAGCGTTCTGCATTGTCTCCTCTGGAGAGGAATTATTTGGCATTTGTTTGATATCCATCTCTGAAAATGTCAAGTATGTGATGATAACTCTAAAATGCTTGCAGGAATTGTTTCAATGTCTGAAAAGATCAGGCCAAGTCTGCTCTGCTGTCCTTCGCCGGCATTCGAAACGATGATGTTATCTCGTGTTTTTACCATTCCAATATTTATTTGCATTGCAACGGAGCCTGCGTTGGTTCAGAATGTAACTTTTTATCAAACCAGTCCATTTTGAAAAATGCAGTGCGATGAGTTTACATGATTGTTAATTTTAAAGCAGTATTTTTTTTTTTCCTCGCAAGCCACAAGATCACATTTTGTCAACAGTAACAAAGGGTTTTGACATCAATGTACTAAGCTATGCATGTTTTTTAAGACAACACTGCAATGTTATTGGCTCTTTAGTGCCACCATTTTGGGTAGCGAGGATATGTGTGTGTGTGTGTGTGTGTGTGTGTGTGTGTGTGTATGTGGTTGTCCGTCCATGTGTGCGCGTGTGACTTGGTGTAGTGTTTGTGTGCATTTCCATCTGGAAAAAAAAAAAACTCTGGATGCCATAACAGTTCTCCTGGTCAGTGTTTAATAAGTGAACATCATAGCCTTATTTTTAACAATCTATTAAACTCAATTTCACCAAGATCCTGCTGTTGTCACTTCTCTTTTTGGATCCCTATTCAATTACCTTTTTTTTCGGGAGACTGAATGGTGTCTGATGGGAGAGAGACGTGAGTACTCACAGCTTGCAAATATCCATTAAGATTTGGAATGGAATTTATTACACGAATGTAGATTTTTTTTTCCAGATATTTACATTGCCTGTATTCATTTTTCAGATGAATTTTTACTTTTACTTCCAGCGTTTGAACACAGATTACCTTTCTATTCCTTTTTACTTTGTTGATATTGACGTGTATTTGTACTTCAGTAGTGTGCGAGCGCTTTTCCCATTTCATATTCTATTGAATATTGTCATCGGCGTTATTTGTTCTTACCTTGAACGCCGGTCTCGTGTTTCTGTGAGCCTTGGTTGGTGAGGAACCAGCAAGCTCCTGGGAGTCCATGATTGTTTGTGCCGTATTTTCTTGAGACGATAGGGGGCGGTGTGGCTCAGGCTTCTGTTGGATGCAACGTCACTAAATGGGGGGGGGAAAAATCCATGAAATTACATCACAGCGTTAAACCCATCTTCCGCCTACTCACTTTTCCTTCAGCCCCTCCTCACCATGCGTGGGTAGATACGCACACACGCACGCAGATATTCAGGCTTCTGACGTCACAGAGTGTGATGTCGCCCATATCGGGGATTCTGAGAGTAAAACATGCCGCGATTGAAGCGCTTTCCAGCTGACATGCTGCAAATGAAGTTACAATGAGAACAGATTTCAACTTCCTGTGCCAAAGCTGCGTCTTGTGGGGATTGGTGGCAAAAAAAAAAAATATATATATATACTGAGGTTTTAGGCACCCGGCTGGCTCACGGTGGATATGACGAGCGGAAATAACAGCAGCATGTGCAGGTTGCGCCGTTATGTAACATCCGAGGTAGCATCCTCTGCGTCTGTCCTTCATAAATCATTGTTGCTATGCATTCATCACTGTATGTCCCTTTTGTCCGCGATTATTTCTTTGTCCTGGGCGATGCGCAAGGCGTCACACGTGTTTGTGTGTTATGAGCAAAACAACGCCATTCATGGGAGAGAAGCCAATGACATGACTGTTTCACAAAACCAGTAACAAAAACAACAATAGCATCGCCTTTTCATAACATCACTATATCTTTTAGGCTTGTTTGGGCTTAAAAACAACAATAGCATTGCCTTTTCATAACATCACTCAGGTTTCCTTTGTGCAAACACCTTTTAGGCTTGTTTGGGCTTATTTGCTTGGCTGGTGGCAAATGCTGAGAGCCCATCAAGTCCAAAGGAGAGGGGGGGAAAAAACACCAGGGGCTTGCCAGATAAAAGTAGAGTGAAAAATATGGTAGCTGTAAGGAGCCATCTGCTTCATGTTCTTCCAAGCCTCCCCTTACAAGTCGTCCAGCTGAAGGTTTAGGTAAACGAGATATGCGTATATGTCTTTGCATGTGTGTGTGTTTGCAGTTTCAGTTTCGTCAGTAGTGGGATGTAAGTAGGTTGTTACTGTAGATTTTTTAGGTATCGGTACTTTTAAGTTGTTTCTCTGGCAACTTTTTACTTTTACTCCCTACATTTCAAAACCAATGCAAAATCTATATTTAGTACTCTTGAAAAATCTAATTAAATAATGATTAAAAAAAGGTCGAAATGGGCCTCAGCGAATGACGACGCAATGCAAACAAGACATAAATAGAGAGGTCAAATCAACCACAGTTGAATCCATCCCCGTTTTTATTCATCTATGGGGCGGCCATTTTGCTACTTGCTGGCGACTGAAAATGACATCACGGTGCCAAAGGGCTAAGGCTGCAAATGTCACATGACCAAACCCAGAAAACAGGTGAACTCATTTCTGTTTAAAAGGGCCCGATGGGAATTTTGCCAGCTGTTGCTCTGATGTTGCCACACATCAAATGATGAGCAACTCGCATTGGCTACGTGAAAGCACACGATAGCCAAGATTATTTTCCGACGTCATATCTGCTTACATATGCAAACATCATTTCACCATCTTTTCTGCTTTTTTTCCCCCTGCTGTTTGTTGAGTGTTTGTAGGGAAGACAACATCTACTATTGTGGCACCGACACGGTGGATTTTTTATTTTATTTTTTTTAAATCCTGGAGAGACATGTGGCGAAAGGGAGATAGAAGGGAGAATGCATTTTCAAAGCTTAGACTTGATGGCATAAGTCTTGGAATAAGAGGAGGGGATAGAAATGTGCATTTGTGTCTTTGTTTCCTGCTTCCTTGAGTGTATGCATGTATGGATGTAAACTGCATGATCTCATGTGATTTAAAAGCCTCCTTTCGAGAGTGCCCTTGGTCTCCCGTGGAGGTGTGCGCTATTTCACAGTGACAGTCTGGCCTATGCAGTTTCCGAGCCAGCACAACTAAGCATGTTGGGATTCTTGCAGCACGCTGCGTACGCCATAAGCCAATTTTGGGGAAGTGCGGGGGCACGGGGGACTGCAGGCGAAGCCACAGAAGTAACCAAAATCTTTGTTACTTCACAGTAAACAGAGGTTGGGAGAGAGACAATATGGTGCCATGGCGGCGGTGTGTGTGCGTCTATGTGTTTATTTTTAGCCCCTGACTAAAGTGCTGAGAAGGCCGAACTGGGTTGAAAGCAGGGACAAATAATGTGACACCATGCGCAGGCTAGCACTTCTGTCTGGATGATCATCTTCCTTCCCTTCCTATTTTTAAGGTGTTATTTGGTGTTTCTCTGCTGAAACTGCCTCAGCACTGAAACGTTGGGTATGCTTGAACATGCTAATGAGATGCAATGCAAGAGCTGTATTCAATGATTTGCATTTTTTTCAGCTATAAAAATGTTCGCTTTTTGTTCTTACTCATGTATAAAGTCCCCATAAAATATTTTTGCTTCTTTTTATCTCTGATGACGAAAAGGAATTAAGGTTAATTGGCATCACGGCTGTTAGCTTGATAGTGGCACAGTGGCTTTAATGTTAGGACACAACTAGCTTCTCTCACATTAATTCAAGCAGAGGACAGTGGCGCTGTTGCTAACCGCGTGAAACGTCAGCTAACTCCTACCTCACAACATAAGCAGCGAGCCCGAATCAAATCCAGAAGAAAAGAGGAGTGATAATGATAATAGTGTGTTGGTATTGAACGTTAAAATCTTGTACAAATAGCTACAGCTAGCTTAGTTAGCAACATGAAAGAATACAAAACACTTCAATGCGAAACAAACAATGGTTAATTATGTCTCCGACAGCGCCAATCACAATGGGGCAAGATTTGCCGTTAAAAAAAAAAAAAAAAAGGCAGAAGTTGTGCTGCAGCTCTCGTATTGAGTCCGATGAGATTGTTGGCGTTCCGATTGAAATGACCTTTTAAATACAAATCGCCTCTCCATATTGATAAGGAGCATATGAATACACATCCATGTTTTTTTTTTTGTTTTTTTTGGATTGATTTTGGCGTATGAGGCATTGCGTGTGTTCCTCTGTGCCCTTTGCGTGCTTGTTTGTGTGGACGTGTCTATTATGGGATGTGCGAGGGAGCGTCTCTGCAGTCTGGGTGACATCACTGGCCAGAAGCGCATCGCATGACAGGCGGCAAGGCCACAAGCAGCAGAGCGACGCACTGTAACGTTACCCGCGCACCTCACCGCGCTCCTTTATTTATCCCGTCAGTCCCCCGGGGTCTCGCTACTCTTTCGCTGATGACGTCGGCCCTCTGCCGTTGTTGCTCTCCCTCTCTTCCTGTCGTCTCTTTTCTTTTTTTTTCTTCTCTCAGAGTGGATGGACAGCTGGATGAGCTTTTCACTTTTATGATTCATGCGGCTGGCAGCGGTTTTCCTCTCTGAAGGGACACTTTTGGCTTTCAGTCACTCCGGCTCTGAATCAGCTCGGTTTTATATAATCACCCATGTAAATAGGAGGACCGACATGATAAACTCAGGATATTTTTATCCCGCAATGCTACACGAGATTGTCTACATTCTTTGAAAGCAAGATTTATCGTTTTTCAAAGGATCATTTTAGCTTGTACAGTTTGGAACAGTAAAGAACGTCTCCGGCTTTTGTTTGGCAGAATGCGTATACAATATCTGCCGATTAATTCCACAACGAATGAGAATCTTCTCCTTTGCATGTGCCTCCTGAAGTCCCTGCCTAATTTGAATACTTCAAAAAAAAAGTAATCTGCATGTATATAAAATGAAGCTATACTGCCCCCGGTGGCCAAGGCACCAGACACACAATGTCCATTTCAGTAATGCATGAAATCATGACCCACAAATCCGTTCGATTCTTCACATTACTTTACATTTTTATGAAGTCCAATACTGCCCAGTGCTATTTGTTTTATTAGAGAACAAAACATTGTGTTGGTGCTTTGGGGCGGCTGGGACCGATTAAACGCATTTCCATTCATTTGTCAACGTTGAAATTGAGGCGCCACTCTATCGCCTTCTGTTCCAATGATGTACAATTTATGGGAAGAACTCAATGGTATGCCGCTTCAATTGTCTCTGAGGTAAAAGTAAAAGCCAGCGTCAACAACCTGCTATCCTATTTACATTTAAGTCTAGCAATATCCATAAAGTAATAACATCAATACGTGAAATGCACCGCTCTCAAACATTTTGCCTGCGATTTGAAGTACGGCTCGTATATGTTTCTGCCGAATGGCCACATGAGAAATGGAATGTGAAAAGAACTCCGATAATCTCCTCCCTGAGTCGCCGCCATGAGATGGCTCATTAAAATGCAAATGTGTTCCTTTATAAGAGCGACTAATTTAGCGTCTGTCCTTGAACGCGGCCTCCAGCTTGAATTCTATTCACGGCGGTCGCCTTTTGCGACCGTCGTCTCTTTTGTGGCCTGCGCTCGCCGGACACATTAGGTACATATGCAACACGAGGCGAGATACGATTCAAGAGCCGAGTTTACCTTCGATTTTGCCACCTGTACTTTTACTTGACAACATGCCGCAGTTTATTGCAACAGCCTGTTGATTGCCGTGCCCAACTGAAGCTTACTGTCAAACTAAACATCCAACAAAGAGAATGACTGATTGTGTATTCCAAACGACTGCAGAGCTTTGCTTGAGAAGTCTGTTTCGCTGAACGCTTACAAACGACACAAAAAAACAACGGGCTAACAAATAGCATTAGCGTCACGTTGGTATTTTTGTCGGCTCGTCAGCGGCGGAGGGTGAAAAACGCGATGAGCTCGGTTGGACAGAGCAAGGGGTAGAAAGTACAGCTGTGATTTCAAATGCAGCGACAATGCCAAGTTGAGGCGTTGACCCCGCTTTGTGTTGGCGGCGGCTCGCGCGGCCTAGCGGCGTGTTAGCTCAATCAAAGAGGTTCACGGTGATGTCAGCGTGAAGGAGAGTGCACTCCATCATCTTATGTTCAGCCTTCCTTGCGTGATGTGTGTCCTTGCGGGCCCCATCGTGAGATAAGCGACTGGCTGTTACCAGGTTCCTTGTGATTATGATGTCA